TCAAATTTCTTTTACCCACTAGTTTTTGGGTATTTAAGTTAAATATTTAAAAACACTATTCATCTAGTCCCTGCAAACTGGTGTCGTGTGGGTTCGAGGGCTTTGTAGGACTCAAAAATTCCACGATACTTCCACAAGAAAGTGTGATGGCAAATGATCATGATGTAAGTGTCATCGTGGAGTTTGGCAAGGTTGACGGAATGCCTGTTTATAATTTCAAAATAAGTTGCTGATTTGTGAATCGAATACGCAGGGTTACTTCACAATATTTTGATGATACGCACAAGTTTTATTTTTGTAGCGTATCTGTAATGTTTGTTGCGTATTTGATATGCTTGGATTTTATTTTACTGTGTATTTTGGCATTTCTGATGCGTATTTTACGCAGATACGCAGCTTATCTGGAGCTCTGGGTCGTTCCATTGCTCATAGGTGAAGTACAAAGAAAACTATAAATGTACAGATAATAACCTAAGAATCTAGGACATAATTTTGTAAAAAGACTGCTGATTATATGGTGAGTTGTTTGACCTAAAAAAACCCAACTTGAGCCACTAGTCCAGGACAATTTCTTTTGGTCTGGTTAGCTTTTCTCATAAAAACCCATACATTAACACTAAGATCCGCTGAAAATGATGTCAGAGACAGATTCTGGCTAGTAGACTTAATAGTGTTAGGCACAGGCTGCTTGTTGCTAGTCACTACATGCAAGCAGAGGCTTCAAATAAGCATTCTGTCACTCAAACATGATAATGCATTCTATTCTGAGTGGAACTTTTGACAATACGGACATGCTCAGGGATGATTCAGACTCAGAGAATGACAAAACACCCCATTTTTTTTTCAAATGAGTAAGATATCTTCAAACTGAAGCATAATTATAGCAAATCTGCAAACAGAGAAATTAAGAATGGATGTAAATAATATCCACTGCAACTATGTCTGCAAGTCAGCGAGTATGAATATTGAGATAAGTATCTGATAAGAAATACAATTCATGTAGTACAGTCCCAGACAGATTTTCTTCACACAATCACAAAGTTTCAATTCAAACAAAATACATTCCCATAATAAGCATAAGGCATCACAGATACTTTGTATTTTATGTGGTGTTGTGACAGTTGTGATCCTGGCGACCCATCCCTCAGGAATGGACAAAACAAAAGAGGCTTTTTATACTGTTAAACTTTGCTGACTTTTATATAGATCTGTATATATTTACATTTTAGCACATTTTGTATTTTTACAATTAATGTCTTTCATAAATGGCTGAGCAATTGGTTGTTATATTTGTTACATAATGAGTATGCATACACTGTATTATATGTCCATGTCAAACGACTCGTGAAGATCCGGGGTTAAATAGATCTTCAGCAACCCATGCTTGCCGTAAAACGTGACTATGCTTGTCGTAAAAGGCGACTAATGGGATTGGGTGGTCAGGCTCGCTTACAACAGAGTCTAATTGTTAAAATGAAAACAGTGCAGAAACATCGTAATGCAGTCAAAATATAAAATCAGTTTGTAATGGAGCATAATGAGAGCATTTACAGCAAAACCTTACTTGGACAAGTACTGAAATAACTTTAATCCTGAAATGTCTGACATAAGGCCACCACAAGGTGAACTCGACATAAATCATAGGTGCCAATTTTAGATCATGGTCGTATTGGTGATTAAAATGATTGCAAAATAGAAGGTTGGTTAGTTAGCTGTTTCATTTATCATGTTTATTAGCATCCATCATTTGTTTATTTCTCTGATACATTGTGACAGTTTTAGTGCTGGATCTAGTGCCATGTGAGTCTACTGGCTCAAAATTGTCTAAATGTCATGGCATCATTTTCAGTGGATTTTAGTATTCATGGACCAAAATCTTTTTACGAGACTCTGGCTTTGGATTAGTGGGAGAAGTCGCAGACTAGTATTGGTGGCATTTGTCATTATTCATAATCAGTTTGTTTCAAGGAACCAATCTCTTACTAAACTAAACAGTAACAAATGGTTTCTGTATTTTTTCATCATGATTTGAAAGTACTAAAATCTTGCAAATAAAAACTTGGTTTCATATAAAATGTCGAGCATATGTGTACACAGATTAAGATTTAATTAACGGTTCACCATGTTGACCATCCCAAATAAAAAATGACATTTTGAAAATATTATTCTCTGCAATCATTCACTGCATCAGTACACCTGGCAAACAATCAATCGTCAGAACATCACGAGGTAATCTCAAATCAATAAATAATATGAGCTACATTATATTACAAAATGACACTTCAAACATCATGAACTTCCCTTACTAGGTCATGATGAGACAACAAAATATACATGTTTCTTGTACATGTACTTGTTTCAAGTAACCAAGGTAACATGTATTCAAGGGAAATCGGTTGGTAGGTAGGGTTTTATGAAAACTCTTCTGGTGAGTTTTAGTTATTTTATTGTTAGATGAATTTCCATATGAAATATCAGTCACAGCAACAATAACATGAAGAAACATTTTCCCGAATGTAAACATGCAAATGGGTGTCTTTCTTGATGGCTGTTTTCCAGCTGTAATACAGGGCTCGATTTAAGGAGCTGGATTTAACTTGCAACAGGTGCGTGGTGACATGAAAGCAGGGTTGCACAAGGCAAAACCTGGTTGCACCCTGGTCCTATTGATTTATCAAAGTTGAAACATAGGCCGGTCTTCTACCAGTGTCACATAAATTAATGACATATTGCTGTATAACGTAATAGGGACATGTGCACATAATCTTGAAGAATCCACAGTTTGTTGATGTCAAGCCAAAGAAAGTGTGACTAATTACACATAACACAGGGATGAGTGATATGGTAAGGTAAATAAAGCTCAGAGGTATTGAGTTGAAAGATCAAATTCCACAAATCATGACAATATCGACCAATGTATCCCCTTCAAAAATGTAATACATGGACACTACTGTTTGATTGATTGACTGGAAATGTAAACAACAGAAAATGACAATAAATAAGGGTATCTCGTCAAATTTTCTGAAAATATTTTATCTGCCATTTATCAAACCACAATTTCAGTTTCTCCACCCTTGTCCACCGACATCAAGTGTATAGGTCCAGCAATGAGCCGTTGTCATTACCCTACCTGTCAACAGGACAGTTTACGACACAAGGTCCTCACAATATCAGTCAGCCCATGATATAGTGTATCTTACTAACAAGAAAAGCTGACACTTATCTATGGGACATTTGGCATACACAATGTGTTAACATTGTTGTGTTGACCATACATACTAGATGTGTTATCACTTTATTGTTTACCTGAAATGCTGGATAATTGTATACTTTTCAAAAAAGGCTTTTAAATTACCAAAGTGGTCCTGACAAAATGTGTAGCCTGTAGGACTTGTACAATACACCTACTGTGCATCTGATACGTATCACAACACCCTGTTGACGATCCGATACGTATCACGTTCCTTGTATGTGCCCTTATCTGTGGCGTGTAAGCCATCTTTTTCATATACAGGATATTCAAATACCTGGCACTCTGACGAATTTACAGCTGGTTGTGTCAAGTATGGTGCAATGGATGAAAATATTTACTTTTTCACTACTAATTATTGTTTTGCATAACAGCCATTAAAGTAAACATTTAAGGTATGAGTCGATATATTTTATTTAGCGTGTGACTGTGATCGATACTTGTATCGGGAAGCAAAATTTCACGATCCACCGATGCATGGTGTCCAGTTTGATGACGTGACAGAATAGTTCTCAATTCTTTTCTTACAAATTGAAGATTCTTGTCTCAAAGGTTTGACAGCACCTGTTTAGCCATGTCAGTCAAAGCTAGGGCTGGGACAATACACTAACTGTGCAATCCAACACCTATCACGATGCCTTGCTCACGATCTAATATGTACCACGATACTTGCATATGCTCTTATCTTTGGTGAGTAAGCCACCTTCTTCATTGACAAGATGGTCAAATACCTGGCACACTGATGATTTACAGTTGGCAGTGTCAAGTAAAGTGCAATGGATGAAAATATTAACATTTTCACTACTAATTAGTGTTCGGTGAAACAGTTATTAAAACAAACATTTAAGGTAAGAATCAATACTTTTTATTTAGTGTGCGACTGTGATCGATACTTGTAGTATCGAGAAGTTAAAAATCTCGATCCTACGGTGCATCTGTGTCTCGTCCCACTACTAGTCAAAACCTCATGTCATGGTGTTAAAATTATTAAATTAATAGGTAAACAATACATTCAGAGCCTAAACATGTAAACATTGCTGAATAATTATTTCAACAGGATGAGTAATGTTTCACCAAAATAATTTTGTCAATACTACATGGTATCTCAAGTCAAAACAGTTTGTCACTATGTTGCATTGTTGGGTACTGTTGATTCTATCATATATCTTTGCTGCAGTTTGAGTATATGTATGTATTAGTGCATGTACATGTGGTGCCTAGAAAGGTGGGCAAAGTTCTGTACATAGAGTTTAATGTTCACACAAAATGGCTTACAATTGATAATATTGGGAACAGTGAACTGCTTTAATCATTAGAAAACATCAGTCCTACCATGCATTCTAAATCAAATATATGGGATTTGGCATCATATGCCTATTTCTTTCTGTAAGATATGTGAAGACAGTGCCAAATTTCCTGACATGATCAGATGAAAAACATGACAAATCTTCTGAACATTCTACTAAATAATTCAAGTTTTTACTCCAAGAAATAGAAGAAACAATCTTTCCCTTATATGCAAGATAGAAGCTGAAATAAATGTGTGTACCTAAGCGACAGTTGTTGCACAGACACCAAAGCATTATTCAGCTTACAATCAACATGCCATTGCAGAATAAAGACATGAGCTTTTTACAGGTAGAGTAAAATATCAACGTGACAGATGGGTGTCACGTCCATAAATATGTTAGAGTCCGTATCTTGAGTTCACGCCCCCAAATAAGATTTGCTTAGGTTTTGTTTGACCCACCTTCTGCAATCACATCTTCAACTGTGACACTGTATCTCCCAACTTGGAACACTTTTCCAATATGTGCATTTTGTTGTGTTGAACCGTCAATTTTTGAGAAAAATTTCTTCATGGCAGCGGCCTACAAATGTGAACTTGTAAGTCAAATCATTCCGAGGTTACTCATCAGATCAAAATTGAACTCGGTTACTTCCTGTATTCTCACTGACTTCCGCTGGCTTCTGACAAATTTCGGAGTGCCACATTCCCGAGCTGAAATCTCTCACTGTCTCACCGAAGTATATACCACTGCACGCTGATTCAACAAAGACCTGTTATACTTTACAATAAACGGTTCATTTGTGAATACTGATTGCGGCGAATTCATCGCACCTGCTTCTGCTAAAATTATGGCGGACTTCTCGTCTGACAGACGTCACGTGACACACCTCGGCACTTGTTACATGGGCTTGTTTACCTTGGTGTCATTATAAAGCGCCGCTTCTTTGCCCATTGACACCGCTGATCAGTAATGAAAACGTTGAAGGTTTAACATAAACCTGCATTTATCCGTTGTTCATATCACTGCGACTTGTTCATTACTCATCTCGCGGTAAATAACGAGATCAAATTAGGAAAATGGCCGACAAGGCGGGAGAGAAGAAATCGAACAACCATTCCCCTTTGTAAGGAAGCAAAGTTGTGTATTGATCAGTGCGATTTAAAGTTCATTTCCACATGGATGTGTCAGTTGTATCGTTTTCTACCATGTCATTCTCGTTTGAATATGTTTAAAGGATGAAAACGGCCAAATTTGCACTGAAATTGGATTTGTTTACAAAATATTATTCTGAATTTGACAACACGTGATTATCACTATGGGACAAATTTTATGATATGGAGCAATGCATACTCTTCCTTGGCTGCAAGCCAGTCACAATGAACGTTGGTCACTTGTTTGTAAAATCAGAAGCAAAAACATGTGCTGTGTTCGTAAAATCAGGGGGTTGGCCAACTATATGGGTTTTATGCACATTGTAAGCCTAAACGTTTTGTCAACTGTGTTGGTGTTGTTCAAGTGATTAGTTTTTAGCGACTAGAGTTGATTCAACAATAAACTTTGATTTGAAATGAAGTAACTGATGGGCAATGTTGTGTGATCAAAAATGAAAACTTTAATCATCCCTGAAGAAACAAAACCATTTTCTTTTATAAGATGAATGCCATGTAAATGTAAATAACTTGTTTACTTAAGTGCATATTGTACTCAACAATGAAAACAGTATAATGAAACTCAATGTGATATAGCTTTATTGTCCAAAAGATGTACAGATTGTATTGCACATACAATGGAATGGCTTATACTTATAGTACAATTCTGTTTTCGAGAATGGTTGCAGATATGTTTAACAGGTCACATTCTAATTAACATAGCATGATAACATTGATAGTCTCTTTAGAGTATCTTTATCAGTTGTTGACATGATCAGTATAAATTTTTGTTGAGTGGGATGTACATAAAAAGGCAGATCAATATATTTACTTCTTAGATGGTCATATTTTGGACAGACTAACAGAAAATGAAACTCATCATAGTTGTCTTGAAAAGCTTGTAATAATTGCATTTTTCTGAACATGCGATGACAATTTTTGTAAGTAAATATCCTTAAGTCTTTGGCATATAGATACTAAAAACGAATCTGAATTGCTAGGTACACATTGATTATGCCAAACATACCTGTAGCCACATTCATTTAATAATGACTTTACATCATATACCCAATTGCGAATTCCATGTTTTTCATACAATAACATCATATTATAATATTTTCTTGGTAATCTATCAATAGGCATTTTAAGAATCTTGAACCAATACTTGAGAATTCTAACATGTTGAGATATGTAAAGTGGTACACGTCCACATTCACCATATTCCATAACACTCAGTGTACAGTTTTTTATGCCAAGGAATCGTTTACAAGCATATATATATATATCTTTTTTGCCTGCATTACTGGTGTGGTAATTCCATGATACTCTGCCTGTGAAAGTAACCCCCAGATATTTATAAGAAGTGACAATTTGTAACGGTTGTGAGTTGAAGAACCATTTTTCCCAACTTAATACTTTATTTCCCTTTTTATAAACTAACACTGTCGTTTTCTCAGATTCTTAACAATATCTGGATGCAGCTGTCTACCATCCGTACAGTTATCCTTAATTTGTGCAGCCAGTTTATTGATGAAAAAACAGAACAGAAAGGGGCTAAGAATACAGCCTTGGCGTACACCAATGTTACATGTAAAGACATCAGAATATATTCCTTGTCTTTTAACACATGACTTTACATTTTGATAAATATTGCATAATAATTTACCCATTTTGTTACACCATTTGAAAGAAACAATGCCCACATTATATTTCTGTTTACAGAATCAGACGCCTTTTTGAAATCTACAAAAATTGCATAAAATTTTCCACCTTTTTCTGCATGTATTTGTGAATAATCGCATTAAGTATGATAATATTATCCATGGTTGAGTACCCTTGTCTAAAACCTGCTTCTTCCGAAATTTTATCAAATGAATCTGACCAAAAGGTGAACCTTTTATTGATAATAGAAACAAATATTTTGCTAAACACACTCAGAAAGGTAATTCCTCGATAATTGTTTGTATCAGTACATGATCCTGATTTATGTAGTGGAATAATCACACCAATAATCCACTCTTTGGGGAAATAAGACTTTTCTAAAATCATATTAAATAGTAATTCAAGGTATGGGAGTAGAATATTGACAGAATGTTTAAAACTGGGTAATAATTAGTTCTTCCATTACTGATAATATGTTGTTATAGCAGTGTGCTATCTTTACAGTATTTGCTTTGCAGGCAAATTTGTCAAAGGCCATGATGTAACTACAAATAACAGAATTAATTGTTTGTCATATTAACATGTATTTTGTCCAGCTTTTCCATTAAAATTTCAAAGTCTGGATGCTATTTTGATAACTAAAGCAAAATTGTAAGCTAGCAAGTTGATTTACCAACTTTCAGACTGATGGGTGAAGCAAGAAGCTTTTGGCTAGCATGCAGTCAGATATTGCACTCTTTGCATAGCCATGGTAACAAGGAAAACTTCATTTTGATAGCACGTTAAATTGGACAAGTGATATTTCCTTCTTGTAACACTGTCAATGAACAGTGTTAGAAATTATCGGGTCCTTGAGTGTTTCTGCATTTGAATCCAAGGACGCTAAGTGTTAAATTTGTGATAAAATAGGCTCATGACAAGAACCCCCTGGCTCTCATAAATATTTTGAAATATTTCTGAAAATTTTCAGGGAAGATAAAACACAGGAAGAGCAAGAAGACTTTAGGAAACAAGACACAGGTATGTTATAAAGCAGTGCATTATTATATTTTATTCTACCATGTATTTGGAATTTACTTGATTCTGATTGGTCAATCAGAGGCTATTAAATCACAATAAACCCCCTCTGATTGAAACAGCTGGTTTGACGGCCGCATCACCGCGGAAGCTAATACTCATAGAATAGTACTATTTTCAGTCATTGTCGGTAGGCATACATAAATAACTATATCTACAATTACAGGTTACAAAATGCACAGATGCGGTTACTACAATATTCAAAGGATGTGTGGCAATACATTTCGTGCAGAAAAAACACGACAGAAATCAACAAAGGGAATGTATTTATGTTTTGGAGACAGCAGAGAGCTTGAAATTTTGGCGCTTTTCTATATACGACTGTGACGTCATATCTTTTGCGTCACAATGAGCGATATGACGTCATCATCGTGACGTGCGATGTAGAGCGAAAGCCTTGCAAAGCTTGCTTTGTTTTCTTTAGGGATGCCCACCTCATGTTAGCTTACCAAGTTGCCGTGCTTATATGCTTTCAATGCCTGTCATATGTTCGAGTGAAGTATTACGGTGTAAACAAACTGCTTGCGTATATACAGCACCATATTCTGTTCGGTGATTCCGTGATTCAGATCGATAACCCACTCAAAACACTGAACTCAACCCATGCCGCTTCACTCAGTATATTTGCTAACACCAAAGAGTTCGCGTTTTATTTCGTCATGGTAGAATGGAGATAAACATACTGTGTTTTCAATGTAGAGCTAGGTTACCTGTAGATTTAATCGCGCTAAATTTAACATTTGAAACCTCACTCTGCGCGTTCGGTTCCACATTCAATTTAGCGGGGTTAAATCTACAGGTAACCTAGCTCTACATTGAAAACACAGTATGTTTATCTCCTAATCAACTTAAACAGGCACTAATCTTAGGCCTTTTTGCATTCTTAATAAATTCCATCCAAGTTGTTCCAATACTACATTGTTTATCTATAGGATTAGTAGAAATGGACAGAATTAGGAATCTTTTCCTCTATGTATCATCAGTACTGTATCTTGATTCTTCATAGGCACACAGACCCCCCAAAAAGTAATTGTGTTTCCTCTGTAAGGAGTTGAATTTCTATTTACTTGATTAAGACTAAGAGATGACCCTTATTAGAGCAGGGGCTAAGGACATGGTTTGAAAAAAGAGCCAGGGGCCCATTTCACAAAGAAATCGTAGCACTACGACTGTCGTAAGTCTAAGTTAAAGTATGGAAGTTACGATCATCTTAGCGCTCTGATCGCTTTGTGTCTTACTCTAAGATAAGAACCAGGTAAGCTACAGCTAAATATTTCTCACCATTACATTTTGAATATCATAAAGTTTACTTAACTATACCATCCCTTCTTGTAGCTTCCAGTGCCAGGGAGACATGAATGAGGGCTAGGCCTCTAATAAGAACTGACCTTAATAGAGGCCTAGAATAAAGGTAAACTGTATTGATAGGTCCTGGGCACGGAGTTGAGTGAATATATTTGTTTACTGCTGCCTGAGTGAATGTTTACATCCCCAGAGGCCATGGATACCAGTGAGGGGTGTGAGGAGGGGGCACCTGTCCCAGGGACTACTGACTGTAATGGGGACAGTGGCCAGGAGAACAAGGAAGACATTGACATGACGCCAGCATCAGATATGGGAGACCTTCCACCTGCAATGTCAGATTCACAGCCACAAGCTTCTCAGTGCTATTGGTGAGATAGGGTGCAGTTATGAAAGAAATGAGAAAATACAAACCCGTGAAGATCCGGGTTAGAAAAGGTCTTCAGCAACCCATGTTTGCCGTAAAAGGCGACTATGCTTGTCTTAAAGAGCGACTAACGGGATCGAGTGGTCAGACTTACTGACTTGTTGACACATGTCATTGTTTCCCAATTACAATGTACGTAGATCGTTGCTCACCATGTCAATCACTGGATTGTCTGGTCCGGACTCAATTATTTACAGACCTCCATCATATATCTGGAATATTGCTGAGTGCAGTGTTAAACAACAACAAAATATATGGAACTATGAAAGGAAAATACTATGGAACAGCCCAGATCTCTGTATAGCGATAAGTCAATATCAAAACGTTTATAGGGAGCAGCACAGAGATACGGTTACCACAGCTAGGTGCATGGGTGGCCCTGTCGCCAAAGTCATTGCAATTTGCTGGCAGAGTTTTGTACCCCTTTGGGATGCCAGGATCCTGTGATCATGAGTTTCAATCCCAGATTCTCTCTAGTATTCTTGATTTCTGGCCAAAGTATTAACTTTTAATAGCTGCATCACTTTCTTCCCACAATCAGCTGATGTGCCATCATATAACTGAAATAATGTTCAAAGCCATATTAAACATGTTAAACACAAGTTATTCCATCAATATTACTAACCTGGGACTATGGAATTGTTGTGCTCTTGTTTCCTCAAGGTTGTTCTTTATGTAAAGGATGAAATAAAATGTATACATTGTTTTAGTGGCAAAGGTCGAAACATAGGCAGTGTGGAGCTCCAGTGCAATGTGTGTCAAGGCTGGTTCCACTCTCAATGTATCAGCTGTCATATCGGGTATGTATTCTGTGTATCTGCTGTCATATCGGGTATGTATTCTGTGTATTCGCTGTCATATCGGGTATGTATTCTGTGTATCGGCTGCCATATCGGGTATGTATTCTGTGTATCAGCTGTCATATAGGGTATGTATTCTGTGTATCAGCTGTCATATCGGGTATGTATTCTGTGTATCAGCTGTCATATAGGGTATGTATTCTGTGTATCAGCTGTCATATCAGGGAATGTATTCTGTGTATCAGCTGTCATATCGGGTATGTATTCTGTGTATCGGCTGCCATATCGGGTATGTATTCTGTGTATCAGCTGCCATATCAGGGTATGTATTCTGTGTATCAGCTGTCATATAGGGTATGTTTTCTGTGTATCAGCTGTCATATCTGTTATGTATTCTTTGTATCAGCTGTCATATCGGGGTATGTTTTCTGTGTATCAGCTGTCATATCGGGTATGTAATCTGTGTATCAGCTGTCATATCGGGTATGTATTCTGTGTATCAGCTGTCATATCGGGGTATGTATTCTGTGTATCAGCTGTCATATCTGTTATGTATTCTGTGTATCAGCTGTCATATCGGGTATGTACTCTGTGTATCAGCTGTCATATCGGGTATGTATTCTGTGTATCAGCTGTCATATCAGGGTATGTATTCTGTGTATCAGCTGTCATATAGGGTATGTTTTCTGTGTATCAGCTGTCATATCTGTTATGTATTCTTTGTATCAGCTGTCATATCGGGGTATGTTTTCTGTGTATCAGCTGTCATATAGGGTATGTAATCTGTGTATCAGCTGTCATATCTGTTATGTATTCTTTGTATCAGCTGTCATATCGGGGTATGTTTTCTGTGTATCAGCTGTCATATTGGGTATGTAATCTGTGTATCAGCTGTCATATAGGGTATGTTTTCTGTGTATCAGCTGTCATATCTGTTATGTATTCTTTGTATCAGCTGTCATATCGGGGTATGTTTTCTGTGTATCAGCTGTCATATAGGGTATGTAATCTGTGTATCAGCTGTCATATAGGGTATGTAATCTGTGTATCAGCTGTCATATCGGGTATGTATTCTGTGTATCAGCTGTCATATCAGGGTATGTAATCTGTGTATCAGCTGTCATATCGGGTATGTATTCTGTGTATCAGCTGTCATATTGGGGTATGTATTCTGTGTATCAGCTGTCATATCTGTTATGTATTCTGTGTATCAGCTGTCATATCGGGTATGTACTCTGTGTATCAGCTGTCATATCGGGGTATGTATTCTGTGTATCAGCTGTCATATCGGGGTATGTATTCTGTGTATCAGCTGTCATATCGGGTATGTATTCTGTGTATCAGCTGTCATATCGGGTATGTATTCTGTGTATCAGTTGTCATATCAGGGAATGTATTCTGTGTATCAGCTGTCATATAGGGTATGTATTCTGTGTATCAGCTGTCATATCGGGGTATGTATTCTGTGTATCAGCTGTCATATCTGTTATGTATTCTGTGTATCAGCTGTCATATCGGGGTATGTATTCTGTGTATCAGCTGTCATATAGGGTATGTATTCTGTGTATCAGCTGTCATATAGGGTATGTTTTCTGTGTATCAGCTGTCATATAGGGTATGTATTCTGTGTATTAGCTGTCACATCAGGGTATATATTCTGTGTATCAGCTGTCATATCGGGTATATATTCTGTGTATCAGCTGTCACATCAGGGTATATATTCTGTGTATCAGCTGTCACATCAGGGTATATATTCTGTGTATCAGCTGTCATATCGGGGTATATATTTTGTGTATCAGCTGTCATATCGGGGTATGTATTCTGTGTATCAGCTGTCATATCGGGGTATGTATTCTGTGTATCAGCTGTCATATCGGGGTATGTATTCTGTCTATCAGCTGTCATATCGGGTATATATTCTGTGTATCAGCTGTCATATCGGGGTATGTATTCTGTCTATCAGCTGTCATATCGGGTATATATTCTGTGTATCAGCTGTCATATCAGGGTATGTATTCTGTGTATCAGCTGTCATATCGGGGTATATATTCTGTGTATCAGCTATCATATTCTGTGTATTTCAGGGTATGTAATCTGTGTATCAGCTGTCATATCGGGGTATGTACTCTCTTTTTTATTAGATGTCGATTGATTGAGGCTTGTAATTGATTCTGTTCATCTATTTTCAGCAAATGCATTCCCTTCATGACAAACTACCAGTTTATTTGTAAAAATTGTAACCAGACAGGCCTGGAGTCGTGTCAGAAGAAACAAGCCAGTAAGTGGAGCAGCTGTTGACGATGTTCACCTCTACATATTGTGTCACCTTAACATTGTTCTGCAAACAATCACACCATGGAGATTCTGGGTTGCAATAGGTCCCCAGCAAGAGGTGACCAAATGGATCAGGTTGTGATGCTTGGTGTCTTGGTTGATAGTGTGTCATTGTACCCTGAAAGCGTGGATCATTGCTCACAACATTGATCACTGGATTGTCTGGTCCCGACTTGATTATTTACAGGCCCCTTTCATGTAGCTGGAATATTGCTGAGTACAGCATTAATCAACAACACATTAAAACTGTTAATAAGCACTTCATAATCACTTGTTTTACCTTGTAATGAGATGATTTACAGATTTTAAGGGGTATAATACAATGCAGAAGATGATTTATTTTTGTCAACACCGTATACTTGTAGTAGCAAATTATCCCAGATTTTCCTTATTGCCTCAGTTTGGGGTTGACTTCTGTTTGATAAATAATCCAGCTCCAGTTTCTGCTGAGACTTTGTGTAACAATGTCGCATGTTTCTTGCTTGCAGGTTTTACACAGATCTGCTACACTGCACTAGCCAACCTGGTGCACACCGCCGAGAGCAAAGGGGAGTCCAAACAAGTCTTCTCCAAGGACAGAGTGAGTAGATTGCCTGCACAAAGTTATCTCCCTTTGGTTAGGATGTCTGTGTTACCTTGCAGTTGGGTGTCAAATTGTCTTGATTTCATCATCCCTCATCCATTTATTGTCTAGTATCAGTCGCTAGGGATCAACCCTGTTGGAAAAGTTCCAATAAGCAGTGTATGATTTACAGAGCATTTCTACATCTCTGTTTGGCTACTCAAAAAATATTTTTATAGTCTGTTTGCCAATCTCTTCCTTAATGACTTGCCTTTGGATATGTTAACCTTGTTAACTTTGTTAAAAATAAGTGAACTTTGAGTTAGGAACAGCCACACTGATTTCATCTCAATATTAAATGCATTTAGGGTGCAATATTTTGTGTCTGGTTAAAGCCTGCATGCAACTTGTATAACCTTTCTGCATTCTAGGCTGTCTAAGACCTGCTGATTTCATAGGCATGTCACAGTGTCTATAACTAGCCATCATACAATTATGGGACATGCTAAATTATCTATGCTTAGGTTTTCCTAACCTGAATCTTTACTAACTACTATCAGAATAATAAAGTAAAAGGAGGGGCTCCACTCTGCTTTTTTTACTCTAAGAAGGAATTCATTTTAAACTGTGCTTCCCCATGAATGGTAAAATTTGAAATGTGAAATTCCACCCAACATGGTACAGACATTTGCTATCCTTTCACCATAATTGTGAAAGAACCTCTCAAGAATATTCCTAACTTTTAAGCAATCATTTGTAGACTGTAACCTTTCCATATGTCATGCCTGATTTTGAATGAAGAATGTCTGTCTTTCAGGAGATAATTCCTTTCATTGACAAGAACTGGGAAAGTCTTACAACAGTTTCTCGAAGAACCAAACTCACATGGCACACTACTGTCTTCAAAACAATGGTATGTCACATTGTGTATGTATTGTTTAGTGTGGACACTGGTGTCTTCAAAACAATGGTATGTCACATTGTGTATGTATTCTTTTGTGTGGACACCACTGTCTTCAAAACAATGGTATGTCACATTGTGTGTGTATTGTTTAGTGTGGACACCACTGTCTTCTAAACAATGGATGTCACAGTGTGTGTGTTTTGTCCAGAGAAATCAAGTTAATGAGTGAAAGAGCACATGTTGTTCTGATTACCTAAGCCTTCTTGATTAATGACAACCTCAGAATATAAAAATCCGTTTTTACCATGTCTGAAGTCCATGAAATAATATCATATAGCATTAAAATGACTTTTTGTAAGTCTTGTATTCATGGTAAGTGGAGAAATTTGTAGAGGTTGAGCTTGGTATTATCTGTCTATTGTATCACCTCGGCAGGGAAAATGAATTATCTGTCTATGGCCTTTTTAGTAAGTGTGTGATTGTTGTCAATGGTTCAGAATTGCCATTATCTAAAAATGGACATGAAATGCTGCCATGAGAATGTGTCTTCAATGCAAGCCGGGCTGTAGACATGGTAGAACTATGTCATGTATTCATCTATAATGGGACATGGTCATAGATTGATCTACTGATTGCTGATGTTTCAGACCAAAGAAATTGACCTGTTTGCGTGTGACGACTCCACAGGGGACTTCTGTTTCAGCTTATTGACCCAGGTGAGCTAATCCTCGGTTGTTCTGGAGAGATTTCTGTAGCATACTTGGCTTGTGCTTGACCTTGCCCTTGCCAAGTAGGATCTACGATGGTATTTCTTCACATTTCTGCATATACTAGGATCGGGATAGGAAATTAATTTTTATTTCAGGGCTCTGGATAATAAATTTCTGGAATACTGATGTCTTTTTTAGGTATTCTATATGTTTTTACACCCTTAGGTCCAGTATGTTGGGTATTTTTACACCAATGTGTAGACAGTTTCAAAAACTACTTGTGCTTGAAATGCTGTGCCAGGTGACTTCTAATTAGTATTTGTTCGTGCGCTGCCCTGAGTGTAACATGTGACATAGCTTCACAACAGTGATATACATGTCTAATTAACTATAAGTGAGATTTTATGCATTATTCACTGCAGTAGGGATCATGTATGTGAGATGCCTGCACTCATCCAGTACCAGTATATAGAGATAGGTAAAGAAATCCAGGCATGCAAGTTAAAAATTGAACTCCATTGACTGTTGTTCTACTATTGGGATTTAAATTTTTCATGCATATTTGTACTCAGTCAACTCAAAATGATTTGGGTAGTTCTGATTTATTCTATCTCATTAAAATCAGATGTTAATGCTCGCTTCCGCTAAACAATGATCTGAGGACATCACATTATTGGTCATGTCAGAATGACCTTTCTCAAAGTTTGACCGACCAATAAAAAGACTAACAAGAATTTGGTGTTAGCCAGTCAGAAAGCAGTTTTCTCGAGCTTTACAGCGCTAGTTTCAAAATTGGCAATTTCCATTCCAGACTACGCTTTGGAAAATACCAATTCCAAATTTGAAAACTGAACAAAAGAAAATTCTTCAATGTCTAATATTTGGCCAAGATTGTGTGGCAGAACTTCGGACTGGCTATGGAAAATCTCTTCCATTTCAAATGTGTATCGCATTGAAGCGAGAGATAAATGATGAATCAGTCGTACAGCTTGTAACTGTCTTCCTCGATGCCCAGTGCTAACCATTTTGAGGTTGCATGATAAGAAAACCCATTCTGACTGTCACTTTCCCGATCTGGTAGGTGATGCTGTTTGGTCGGATGAAAGGTCATTCTGACATTTCACTTCATGGGATGTCCTCTGATTTTTGGTTGGCCTTAGCAAGAACTATGTAATTGCTGATTTCTTTTTCACAAATACAGAGCTGAGTTTATCTAAAGCTCTGATCATTTCTGTGGACTAGTAAACATACAATCTGCAGAGTTTCCATCTACACAATGGTAACTGTGGTAGTCCACAAGGAAATGTCAATATTCCTCCTTGATTTCCTCCTTGACATGCAGACTTACATAATTTCAAGCACTGGTCATGCTGGTGAGATTTCTTCTGGACAACAAGATGCCATTAACTGACACTAATATGTCCATGGTTTCCCTAACATTTGCTGACACACAGTGAATGGTTTTTCAGGGCTCAATTTAAGGAACTTGATTTAACCGTGAAAAGCTAGCTGCACCAGACTAAACCAGGTTGACCCTGGTCCCATAAATTTATCAAAGTGAATGAGTGAGTTAAAATCTAACCTCGCATCGGCATTATTTCAGCCATATAGCGACGAGAACAAGCTCATATATAGTAGTTATATACACAAGTTTTATCAAGTTGAAACACAGATGCATTAGCTCGTCTGAATAAGTAAAATCACAGATCTCCGATTACTGTTATATATCATGAAACTGACACAACACTGGGATTAGTGATAAAGCATGGTAAATAAAACTTTGAGACATGGAATTTGTTCAAAGATTGATATTGTTTGGACAAGTAAGGGTCAGTGAGACAAGAATTTGAATTTTTGGGTGCATGTAAACATAAATATTTGGTTGTGTTTTTCAATAATAGGTTGCACTGGTGCATGTTTTATATAGCTAAATCAAGCCCTGATTTTGCAAGAGTTTTTTATGTTTTTTTCTGTCTGCTTGTGTTGCAGGATCTGTCCAAGATCGGCCCCAACAGTGAGGTGACCAGGACCAGTCAGCTGATAGGACAGCTTCCAAAGGCTCTCCCAGTGGTGGACAGTATGTATCCATGTTCAAAACGAGGCTGTATGAACAGACGTCCTCCAGGACACATGCTGGATAGCGATTCGTGTGTAGATACTCCAAATGTTATTCATAGAAAAATGTCCCTATCAAGAAGGATCTTGTGTTGTAACAAAACTTTCAGCAGTTTAGTGACGTGTAGTCAGCAGACATCCCAGAGTTCCTCACCCATTGCCCGGCTTCACACAAGGCAGTATCATATTACTATAAACAAAACAATCTTGTGCCTAGCCGGTATAACTGGGTCTAAGTTTGCATAAAAAAATATATTGTATTCCCTTGAAAAGTCTACAATCTGCTGAACACTACCTCCTGTCTGATGGATTGTGACAGCCACCGGCTGTAAACAGGACAGAGGTGTGTGGTGGGCGAGATAAGGCAGGGAGTAATAGATTTTAGGATATAGATAGCTGGTGAGGCACACAGTGATCCATGGGCATCCTGACTATTTGGGCAGTGTTAGACATACCGGTAGCCACTAGTCCTTTAGTCTGGTTGAGATGCATTTTAGTTCTCTCACAATAGCTCGTTATTTTACATTAAGGTTTAATCCCAAATGATAAAGTGTTGATGCCAAAGACCCAGATTCAATACCCAAAGGAGTCACGATACTCCTATGTATGTATTAATACATATTGTGATACTTATTTGCACCGGTTTTGCTTGAAATTCCCGCTGTTCCATGCAGTCTGGCAAAGAAGACGTTGACATCAAACAGTTTGTTCTAACTTGCATGACTTGTTATTATGGTACAATGCCATAAGATTTATCATGTTTTGTGGTAGATGCTATGGTATGCCAGACCAAGTATTTGTCAGGCTAGATTATTACTTACTTAAAGCAACATATTACTTAGTGAAAATCAATACACAATTAAATCATAATAAAACAGCGCTAAGTTTGGGCCGATAGGGATAGCTTCCCAAATGACCACAAACAACTGTGGAGTGTTGGGCTGATGATGTTTCTTGAACATATGTATGTATGTATGTACGTCAGCCTGAAACAAATAACAACATAAGCAGATCTATAATACAATCTAATAAATATGTACAATCTGTTTGTACAGATACTCTTACTTACTCTTTGCAGTTATAAAATACACATCACTTTCATTAACAAACAACATTTAGATGACATGAATCTAGTTACACATATCTGACCCATGAAGATCCGGGTCAGAATAGGTCTTTAGCAACCCATGCTTGCAGTAAAAGGCAATTATGCTTGTTGTAAGAGGCAACTAATGGGATTGGGTGGTCAGGCTCGCTGACTTGGTTGATGCATGTCAGCGATCCCAGTTGCGTGGATCGATGCTCATGATGTTAATCACTGGATTGTCTGGTCCAGACTCAATTATTTACAGACCGCCGTCATATAGCTGGAATATTGCTGAGTGCGGCGTTAAACAACATGCAAACAAAAGTTACGCATATATAAACAATAGGTCAAGATACATGGAAACCATACCTATTGGTACATTTATATAGTGATATAAAACTGCAGGAATTACAAGGTACATGGGATACAAATGCATATAATACATCTACCAGTACTATAACATTACATACCAGATTGGTCAAACCTGTGCTGGCACCACCGGTGATATACTATGGTACACACACACTCGGCAAGTGTTGCTAGTCACACATCTGCATACGGAAGGAATGTGTGTGGAGAAAACTCTATATATACAAGTGATATGATATTGTACAATAATGATAAAACTATAAGGTACGCTAGCCAACATACAATGCTGATACACCTGCACTTACCCAGATACATCAATCACTCACATCAAACATACAATGTATATACGTGCCTACACCCGAAACAAGTGTCCAAACTTGTGGTGTCCCCCTGGGCAAGTGACTTCAAATGCACCTGTAGGCAGCGTGGGTTGTATACTCCCCAGGGAGTTGAGAATGATAACTGGAATGCAAACGGATCCACTGATTGAGGAGCAAATAAAACTGCATTTGAGCAGATATCAATACCTGGATACCTGTGGTGTATGAATGTATAATATAATAATAATAACAACGCTCTTACACCAGCAGTTTCCCAGATACATCAATCATTAGTTTCAAACATACATTCACATTTACTTGCCTTTACTGGACAGATAGGTTATAACATAAGATATGTAGTCGATATATAGTAAGGTTACAGTAGGTTATAACATAAGATATGTAGTCGATATATAGTTAGGTTACAGTAGGTTATAACTTAAGATATGTAGTCGATATATCGTTAGGTTACAGTAGGTTATAACATAAGATATGTAGTCGATATATCGTTAGGTTACAGTAGGTTATAACATAAGATATGTAGTCGATATATCGTTAGGTTACAGTGTAATACTTAATTGTACAGGTTTCCCAATAAGTCACTGAACTCCCACTTCATCTACAACTATAAATTTATACCAGATACATTATATTTCTAATCAATCAAACCTGAAATGCACTACACAAAACATCTTATTTATAATCACAATAACTAGAAATCATCCATAAATACAACATCATACAATAGATTATCAACTAACCTCAATTGTGAATGAATTTCCTCCTATCCCTCTGTATCCTCACACAGTGAGAAAGGTGATGAAGAACACTGCAATAAATATACACTGACTACAAGATGTCCTTCTATGAGAAGTAAAGGAGCAACTGATTTTAAAATGTATACAATCTAAATATTGAAGTTCATAGCAATGGCCAGCTTGGCCTATCAGCGACACAATAGACTGGGCTGGGGCGTTGGGGCAAATAGTGCTGTAGGTCAAAAGCATGCAGTGTGACAATTATTGGGGTTTAAACTGAGAGAAAGCTGTACAGTGCTACTGAATGATTTTTTAAGGTACAAAATGCTAAATTATAAAACAGAACTAATATTCTAACTTATACTACATTCTTATTGTATAATGTAGCTATCAAAGGTACTTAACTAATTAAATGTCAACAGATCCACGAAGATCCGGGTAGAGAATAGGTCTTCAGTGACCCATGCTTGCTGTAAGAGGCGACTATGCTTGTCTTAAGACTAACGGGATTGGATGCTCATGTCATTTTATCAGTCACTGGAATGTCTGGTCCAGACTCGATTATTTACAGACCAACGTCGTAAAGCTGAAATATTGCTGAGTGCGGCATTAAACAACAAACGAACAAACAAATGGCAGCGAGGTCAACCTTACTACTTACTACAAACTTACTGATGATTCTTAACTAGAAGTTACGTACACTTACTAACAAACTTGCATGGAGATACTGATATTAACAGGATAATTGTGCTCTGTATTGAAATGGTAGATGCCTGCCACAGACAAAGAAATGGGTATTGCTTCAGGTAAAGGACGCACGGCCAAGAGGAAAGCACCCTTCGACAATCAACTAATCCCAGGATCTAAGCAGAAAAGAAGGTAACTGACACAGTTGATACCATGATGCATGTCTTGTAAAGAGATGATTGATGAAGCTTCATGGCAGACCACCTCCATGGTCTAGTGTTAGAGCGTCCGGCCGGAGAGTGGAAGGTCCCTGGCCGCGTTATACCAAAAGACGTTAAAAGATGATACTTGTTGTTACCCTGTCTGGCGCTCAGCATTAAGAGGCTAAAACAAGCACTGGTCGGCTCGGAGTCAGTATCCTGTGTTTGAGTGGGGTATTCATGTTAAACCGAGGCATGGTATCTCAGTGTGCTAGCACTATGAATCGGCATCAGTCCGGACTCGTACAAGCAGCCACACACATGTGCGTACATGTCGCTATGTAAGTGCAATAATCTTTGACGCAATGTTAAACCCCATTTCACCTCATCTCATGACAGCATGATAGCAGTCTGTGCCAAAAACGTTTTAGGCTAGTTTTCAAAACTTGGCTCTTAGCATAATTTTCAGTTGATGTTAGTGTTGGTATGGTCTATATTTAGCTGAGCTGACTTAGAATTAGAGTTTTACTAGACTTAGGCTTGAGACTAGTGGCAGATTGATAGTGAGGATAGATAGTGAGGATAGATAGTGAGGTTAGATAGTGAGGATAGATAGTGAGGATAGATAGTGAGGATAGATAGTGAGGTTAGATAGTGAGGATAGATAGTGAGGTTAGATAGTGAGGATAGATAGTGAGGTTAGTTTGGAGTCACTAACAAGTGTTTAAGTCAGCTGGGAAATGTTGATATAAATGATTGATTAAAGTGTGTAAGTATTTGAACTGGTTAGGTTTTAACAGGGGTTTATCAAGACCGCCTTATTAAAGTTATAACTGATGTTATGACCTTGTAGAATCTTGTGTCATACCGATAACAGGACCAGTAAAGAGGAAGGGGCTTTAATACTGAGTTGAAAGTTATTGCATTGAATGCAATGTTAAAATACCTCTAAATATAGGAAAATCAAAACTTTTGAAAATCCTAGTCATGGACACAATAATATTTTGCCCACTTTCCCTGCTAAGGACACTTTGTTTGGAATTCTAGTTTAATGAAGTCAGCTATTGACTGTTGCAACATGATTGGTTAAGATGTGTTAGTATTTGAATTTTTTATGTCATATGTACTTGTTTAACTGCTTAACTGACAGCTTTTTATGCACTTGAAGAGATGTAGATGTAATTTATGCCCATCACAATATGGGGTTCTGTGATTCATATAACGCAGAACATATTGGTTATTGAACGAATGTTCCCCTTCAATTGGAATTCAATCAACGTTTCATTTTTGGGCTCTCAAACCTACAACCTATTACCAGTTCTCATATTTATCATTTTCAAAAGTGAATGTTTTAATTTGGATCTTGCAAAATTTGGATACAATACAGTGTCTTTGGATACAATACATTTTTAGTCATGTGAAGTTGTAACTAAATACTTAGTGATTTTAATGACTTTTTCACACTTTGCAGTGATCAGAGTTCAACAGCCAAACTCCCACCTCATGGCTATCCCTTGGAGCACCCATTTAACAAAGATGGCTACCGCTATATCCTGGCAGAGTGCGATCCCCACGCACCCAACAGACAGGCGTTCGATGAGAGCCTGGACTGGGCTGGAAAACCTATACCTGGCTACCTGTACAGGACCTTCCTGTCTTCCCATGTTCTCCTGGCGCTGCATGATAGAGGTCAGCCTCCTTGTTAGTTGTCAGCTTGTTATGTAAACATATGCTGAACTTAACCTTTCAGGGGCATGGGTGCTGCAACTTGCTGTGCAGAGTTGTGTCCCCTTGGCCTGCCAGAAACCTATGATCATATGCTTGAATTCCAGATTGTCCCTGATTATGTTTCTAGGTTTGTCAGCACCTGGGGAGACCTGTATCCATCTAGGAAAGCACCAATAGCCTTGTTGCGATATGTTATGGTGTTCAAATTAAATCAAGGGGTCATTCTCATTGCCATTATGCTGCAAGATAAGATCTGGGGTCAAAAGTAATAAGATAACAAAGGTGGAAACTTAACAAGGGAAGCCAACAGTTAATGCCCATTGCCTATCAGCGCTGATTAACTTTTAAGTGTTGACTTCTATTTGTCCATTGCTAATCACATATAAGCGCCAATTAACTGTTGGCTTTCCTTGTTAAGTTTCCACCTTTGCTATCTTATTACTTTTGTTGTTCTTACAAGTGCTGATATATGTTCTCTGCTTCATAGCATTCATTCACCTGATGAAGGAGTAAGTATATACTCCGAAACGTTGTGTTCATCACAATAAAGAAGTTGACATCCATAAATTCTCTTCTTTATGTGTATCACTTTTAAATGCCATTCAAAGACTTGATTTACATGACATGTTCAGGGAAAATTTCCGTCATCAAAGGAAATGAATAGTGGTCTTATGCTGATTTCATGGTGCTGTTGAGACTTGGTGATGAAAACTGATTGTGTTCCTTAATCTGAGTGTTATGTGTTCCTGTTCCAGCTCCCCAGTTGAAAGTGTCGGATGACCGGCTGTCGGTGACGGGGGAGAAGGGATACAGTATGATACGTTCAACTCATGGTACGGCACGCAGTTCACAACCTTGCTTGTGTTTTCTTCTGAATTAATTATGTGCATTTTTATAATGCGCCAAATCCACACCCTAAATACACTCAAAGCATTACATTATTATCCCAGTGAATGGATCCGTGTTCACTTGAATTTCATTGATATATACTACATTAAAAAGGTTAAGGATCACACAATTTTTTCACATTACTGTAGTTAATCTGTCATGTAATGTGAAAGAATCCTGTGATCCTTAACATTTTTTTAGTAGTATAGTTGATGACATGTCATCAAACCCTGATGGTGTCAATCGTGGCTCATATCAGTCATTGGATTATCTGGTCCTTACTCGATTATTTACACGTTGAAATATTGCTGAGTATGGTGCTAAACAACAAACTAACAGTTTCTCATGCAAATATGGTAAACCTCAGTTTACAAATCAATGAGAGTCAGGTGAATTACAGTGCCTGTGACTGTTGAATTATTCAAAACACATAACAGAGACGTTATAAGAGGCGACTAACGGGATCGGGTGGTCAGACTCGCTGACTAGGTTAATGCATTGCATCGTATCCCAATTGCGTGGCTCGATGCTCATGATGTCAATTACTGGATTGTCTTTCTAGACTTGATTATTTACAGACCGCCGTCATACAGCTGGAATATTGCTGAGTGCGGCGTTAAAAAACAAACAAACAATCAAACAACCAAACATAACGGAGAACATGGGCTTACATGCCAGTTTCCCCATGAAGATCCGGTTTAGAATTAGTCTTCAGCAACCTATGCTTGTCGTAAGAGTGTGCTAAAAGGTGGTCAAACTTGTTGACTTGGTTCATGGATGGCATTGTATCCCATCTATTGAGATTGATGCTCATGATGTCAATCACTGGATTGTGTTGACCCAGACTAGTTTGTTTATAGACCACCATCATATAGCTGTAATACTGCTGAGTGCAGCGTTAAGCAAGAAACAAACAAGCCAATTTGATAAATATTGATACTTGCAGATGGCAAATTAAACCAAATAAAATATGGGCCAGGAGAGAAAAAACTAAGAAAGGCCAGCTAACAAACCAAGCTCTTATTTTCGTATCACAATGAGATGTTATGCTTGTTTCTCCAAGGTGAAATATGATTTGACACAGGGCTGATATTTGCCTGTAGGAGTGCAGTGCGGTCGATGGTACTTTGAGGCCAGGATCACAGACATGCCGCCCGAGTCAGCTGTACGGATAGGCTGGTCGCAATCCCTCGGTGAGTAGCTTCACAGTGTCGTCAACCAGTGCATAAACTCACAACAGTTTCATTGAAAGTTGCTCTCACAGTTTGTATCTTGTTTAAATCCTGGCTGCCATGGCGGATAGACTTCTGTATATATTGAGTTTTATGGTCTTATTGTCACATAAACTGATTGGACCCCTGAAGATCTGGGGTAGAATAGGTCTTCAGCAACCCATACTTGCCATAATAGACGACTATGCTTGTCGTAAGAGGCAACTAGCGGGATTGGATGGTCAGGCTCGCTGACTTGGTTGAAGCATGTCATTGATCCCGATTGTGTTGATCGATGCTCATAATATCAATCACTGGATTGTCTGGCACAGACATGATCATTTACAGACCGCCGTCATATAGCTGGAATATTGCTGAGTGCGGCGAAAACATCAAACCAAACCAAACCATAAACTGATTGATATCATTGCATATATCTAATAAACATCAAGGTGAGCTGATGGCCCTAGTATCAAGGCTTCAATGATAACTGCTCATGTGTGTTGGTTGGTCAAAAAAGGGAAAAATTCCTCATACTGGTTTCCCCTCTGATACGGTTAGTCTATTTGTAGAATTTGTTATAACCAGGATTTGAAGAATTGTCCCTGATATCTCTCTTTGATCTGATTCCGTTGTCAACTCATTCTTATCCATAGTCAAATGCAGTGTGTGGGTTTGTATGAACCCATTATTTGATTTTCTGCATTTATTCTAAGTGAGTGAGTGAGTATGGTTTTACGCCGCTTTTAGCAATATTCCAGCAATATCACGCAAGGGGGACACCAGAAATGGGCTTCACACATTGTACCCATGTCGGGAATCGAACCCGGGTCTTCGGGGTGACGAGCGAATGCTTTAACCACAAGGCTACCCGACCGCCCCATTTATTCTAAGGAAATACACCCTGGGATTCCAATTTAGAATTATCCCCAGCAACCTATGCTGGTTGTAAGAGGCGACCAAATGGATCTGGTGGTCAGGCTCTGTTCTTGGTTGATTGTGTGTCATCATATTCCGATGTGGGTCGCTACTCACAATATCGATCATTGGCTTGTCTGGTCCATACTCGATTATTTACAGTCCCTACGTTGTATAGATGGAATATTGATGAATGCGATGTGGAACAAATAAACAAACTAAAGGGATATATTCGTCTGTTCACTTATTTTGGCATTGCAGTATTTTCTTCATACAGTGTTTTGTTTAATAGGATTGCTGGGTTCCCTTTTCAATTACCAGGATTTGAAACTAACACAAGTTTGCTAGTCATAGAATAAGAGTAAAACTCAGGAAAAACTAGAGAAATTTCTTTATGTACTACCACTTTTAACATTAGGTAGATAACAGCTCTGCAGCAGAACATATTTGCAGATGAGTGATTGTTTACTTTACTTCAATTTACTATGCAACAAAATTTGTAACTTTACAAAGAATGAGGCTGTACATTCCATCTCACAAATATTTCAGTTCTGTACCGGGTATTGTAATATTTCAATAGTTGTCAATGAGGTATCCTCAGAGTACAGTTCCCTCTGTCCAGGTAATCTCCAAGCTCCATGCGGGTATGACAAGTTCAGCTACTCATGGCGGTCCCGGAAAGGCACACGCTTTCACCAGAGTCACGGCAAACATTACAGCGAGGACTTTGGCAAGGGCGACGTCCTTGGCTTCTACATCCACCTCCCCCCTCCAGGAGACTCGGGGAAGCTGCTACCTCCCACCTTCAAGGACAGGGTGAGTACCTGACAGCTTCATGTGCTTGGTTCTCAGGCAGGAGAACATATGGATATTTTTGCCTCATTGGTAATTACACCAGAACAAAACTATTTGACAGGTAGAAAACAAACAATAGGTGATTGTGTTTGCAAAAACAGAAGCAGTCCTTTTACTGATATTTCCTTACAAAGCTCCCAAAATCTTTACATATCATATACTTCCAGATCTTGGCCTAAATAAAAAATAAATTGTACAAGATCCAACAATTATCCAAGTCTCAGGATTGTACAAAGGTTGTGATAGTGGAACATTAACTGGCAATGAGTGATGACACGGTTTCACAAAAACATCATTCATGACTTTAACCTTTGACTTGTTTTGACCTTTTCAAAGTTTAATGATAAATGTGTCAATCCTTTTTGAAAGAGTGTAACCACAAACCTTTCTGTGAGGTTTAATGTCTAATGACCTTGACCTTTAGCCTTTTCATGACATATGCCAAAGGAATTCCCCAGGGTAATTTGGAAGAAGTGGCAAGGCAGTCAAAGTGTCCCGTTAACAGGGCTTCTAGTTATCTGACAGCACTTCACACTTGCACTTGAATCATTTTTTGAGAGTCTTTACCTGAGAACCAAGTGTTTTACCCATTTAGCCTTTTGTGTATGTATGCATTGGATGTTTTCATTTGCAGGGCAGTTCAAACAGTGTGTCAAACTTGATTATAGGGGACTGTCATTGTTTACATCGTCTTATCATGTGTTTTGTGACAAGGGGATGGAGAGTTATGAGAAGGAGTTTGTGTATTGCATTGAAACCAGACACTCAGAGGACAAGATGTTGTTGGTGGTCTTAGTGTTGACTGGATTACTGAAGAATGGCATGCTTGTTTCAACCATACAACAGTAACAGATCAGCCCAGATCAGCCCTTTGTGATTTGTTCAGCAGAGCTTGAGTTATCTATGTGAAATAATTCCAAACTGTGTCTAGCTAACCCTTACCTTTCCACACAAGAACAATCTTAGAACACTCTCAATACCTCTGAGCTCTCTATACCATATGACATCACTAATCCCTGTGTTATGTGTAATTCATCATGCTTTCTTTGGTCTGATGTCATGAAACTGGGCACCTCAAATTATGTGCACATGACCCTTTTATATTTTACAGGAATACGTCATTAATTTATGTAAAATCATGACTGTCATCAGAGTTGTGAGATTTTATATATTTAAACTAGTTTATGCGTCTGTGTTTCAACTTTGATAAATTTATGGGACCAGGGTGCAGCCTGGATTTGTCTGGTGCAACTAGGTTTCTGTCACTTGCAGCATGTTAAGCACTGATTTCACACTTCCAATGTTCAACAAGGGTTTACATGGCTCAAAAGTAGGACTAGGGCTGTTCTCTCATAATGGACATTATGATCGGTCACTTCCTCATTCTCCAAGAGGGGGCACAGGTGGCCCAGTCGTCTAAGGCGCCGCGATTCGAAGTGCAGAGTTGTGTCCCTTGGGTGCGCCAGAAACCTATGATTGTGGGTTCGAATCCCGATTTGCCCCGATTATGTTTCTAGGTTTGTCAACACCATACCCATGCTCTCGTGTTTCACCGAAGTGGTAAATGTCCGAGGCCTGCATTACTTTCAGCTTTCCTCCCGCATTAAGCTGACACGCCGCAATATAACTGTAATACTGCTAAAAGCGGCGTTAAAGCCAACTCACTTACTTACTCTCCAAGACATTTTATGCACCTTGTGGAAGAATAATTGCTGAATCTGCATGCCGTATTCCCCATATTAAGTGGCCTGCCCCTCAAGTGCCCCCTGACCAACTTCTAGACCAATTTGTAAGCAATGGCTTTCGAAGACTGAACAGTCTGTACTTTCTCCTGTATATTACAGATTCTGTTACAGAAAACAGGCATGTAGAAGGGCTGTATATAATTGCATTGTAACTATTATAAGAAACAGTTTTTATTTCTTTGAAGTTAGAACTACTTTTGTTCATTATCTGTAGATCATTGATAACAAAATTAACTTGTTTCTGGTTTTAATTATTAAGTGCCCTTTTATCAATCTTGCACTCACCATACAGTTTTGTAGTTTTGTGTTAGGCATTTCTTTTCCATACCAAAGACCTGATTCACTTTCTCATATGTGCAGGACTTGTTAATCCCATTGTGGATCTGATAAAATGAAATACCTCGATACTCATTCACTTTTGAACTTTTCACTCAGCACATTGCAGTTTGAAAGGACCTCAGGTTGGAATCCATATTGGCACTGGTTCTGTGCACATGATGTAACCAACCTGGTGGCAGCTGTGAACATGATATGACCTTTCAGATTGTTTCCATTTGCCTTTGTCTTCAGATCTAAGTGTACACCTGATTTCTGTTTAGCACAGTATGAAGTAGGTAGAGGAATAAACAGTGGATATGATTGGCTATGCGTGAAGTTCAGGCATGTAGATATACAGAGTTATCTCCCTTGATGTGTTTTCTTGCGGTTATTAGTGATACTTATGTACTTGTTTGTCTTGGATTTGAGGCATGGGTGTCCCAGTCGTCTCAGTGTGCAGAGAAAGCTATGATCATTGGTTCAAATCCCCATTCGCCATGATTATGTCGCTAGGTTTGTCAGCACCATACCTATGCTGTTGGTTTCAGCAAAGTCGTAAACATCTGAGACCTGTATCACTTCAGGCTTTGCTCCAACATTAAGCGGTTTTGTGATGTAAATGGAATACTGTGCAAAGTGGCATTAAACCCATCTCACTCACTCACTCACTCACTCACTCACTTGCTCTCTCTTTTGGTATGTGTTCAGCATAAACAAGCAGGGAGGGCATTTGATCACTTACACGCACAAAAAACAGTAAAGATTTGGGTGAGTTAACCAAGTTTATTTAGTTGGTAAGGCACCATTATAATGGTTTAAAAAATACACCATATTCTGTACAAGCTTAAGTAGTTGACCTACTTGCGAATAACAAGCAAAACATCCTGTCAACCGAGAGAGGGAAACAGTGCTATGTACATCACATCGATAGCAGTGGACATAGTCAGTAGTCATGTGACCTGGTCAGGTATGTCTTGCATAGGTTCGTACTGCAACTCGCGCAGGAGTATTGCACAGTGTCTGCATGACGTGTAGATGTGGGAAAGGTTGAGATCAAGTTTGGTATTTTATGATGTACCAAGACATTTGATTGCAGGAGTTTCCATGCTTACTTATTTGTAATTTCTAATCTGAGTTTGTGACATTGTTGTGTATTTCTGGTTATGATTTTATGAAACACAAGATTCTGTGATGTCAGGAAATCAAGAAATAGATTTATGTCAAGTGAACATGCATGTTTTGGCAGAATATTTTGACACCTGTCAATCATCTCTATCATATACAGCACTGTAGATCACAAGGTTGTCGTCAACATGTTTCAACACAGATCAACACAATTGTTAATAGCACTTCTACATAAAGACAGAAGAAAATAAGACCAATGACTGAGTTTTGTGGTGTTGAGGATAATAAACAGTAAAAGCTATCTGATTTCGAGGGTCAAGTTCATCTTTAATATCTAGTGGACTTATTTTCTTGCTAGTTTCCACATACTGAATGTTTTTACTTCTTTGAGAAATATTTTCCTTCAACAGATTTGTGTGCATTTTTCTTCTTCTTTTCTTGGAACTATTATACAGAAGAAATGTTATTTCAACTTCCAGTTTGACAATACCACCAGTTATCTCCCTTTGCAGTGGTGGTTTGCGTTAACAGGATGCTAGCAATAGTACTGACTAGGCCCCAATATTTCAGGCAGCAGGAAATGATGGGATGAGCAAGACAACAAACAAACTGTCATACAAACTTAACACAATTAACTGAAGTAACCATGGTAACAATGGGTATATATGATGTCAACAATGGCGTAACAGTAAGGTAGCCCTATCATTCCATCTGCCGACTCTCACGCCAATAATGCTTAACATGTGCCTGAGTCAGTGTTTGGCCAGCCGCTTTCATTGGACGCTTGATGCACGGCTGCAGATCTACGGGACTACACTACATGCTTTCAGACGTTCTCTGACGTTCAATTAATTATCTTTTCTAACTGGAGCTAAGTGAGGCAAGCCATTTCCAGGTTGGATCTGTTTCGTAAAACAGTCTTGCTGCTACAATTGTCATAACTTATACTTAAAAATGTACACCGACGACAGTTGTAACACTAAGATTTCACAAAGATGTTGTCACCAACATTTATGTTTGTTTCTGAGTGTTGTGACTTGTCAGCCTTTGTTTGGTTGAGTCTGTTTCCAACAGCAGGCTTACTGTTATGTCAGTCATAACTCTACCCTTAGATGTAGACTTCAACAGTTGTAGCAGTATGATTGCTTTACAAAAAACAAACCAGAAGCAGTTTTGTGTGACTTTCGAAGCGATCTTGCTGTTAAGAGTTGTAACTCAAGTCTTTTGGACATTACTACAGCTGTGGTACTAAGATTGCTTTGTGAAACCGGGCCCTGGTTTGGATTTGTTACATTGACACTTTCTTGCATTGATCTGCAAGTAGTTATATCTGTATGATATGTTATTTACCTTGAAGGTTTAGATTTTAGAAATGAAAGTGGGGTAATCCAGACAGTATTGTTTCCGATCCAGACTGATGTCTGAGACCAATATGGTGTCACATGATTGTTCTCAAGGCACTGGATATCACAATGATATGTCTACAGCGACATTGACAGGAGTAGTCTATGGGCACGTGGGGATCCTCCGGGCAGTCAGACATGCGTCTGCTTCACGCCAAGCAGATTCTTTGTAGGGTCAGAATGAGATCGTTCTCGACTTTGAGGCTCCATGTCATCATCACTCTGCAAGAGAGAAAAAGACATTCTTTAGGTGTTTGCTGAATGGTTATAATGATTAATACTTGACTTTGTTAAAACACTTAAGCATCAGATACTTGGAAAAAAGATTATGTTTGTGATTGAGATAATGATAAAACAATGACTACTTTAACTGATAAAAATAAAAAACCGAGGATAACTCTCTTTTGCTGATATTGGAGTTCTGTGTATAATTTGTATAAAACATCTCCAAATTTAGAGCAGTTCAAGTAAATTATTTTCAGCCATCCTCATCCACACAGTGTTGTGGTGTTCATCCTGCTGTTGTGCACATACGGATGGTGTTTCAGTGTTACCTACCCCTGAGGGCACCACCTTGTTTGTGGCCAGGTTCCGAGCACTCTGGCAAGTTGGGGGCTTGTCTTCTTTTAACCTCGTTTTCAGAGCTGAAAATAGCATCAGGCCATGACAGATTATTTATGGTAATGTGAAGGAATAGGGTGTTCTTTAACTTCTTTTGAGTAGTATATGTTACGTTTGATTAGCTTAGTCCACAAAGTGACATTAAATGTCTCCTTTAGAATATGCTAGATATACCAGTGTATAGTATACTTACATTTAACAAGTTGGTCCATCTGTTCCCCGTGCACTGAAGGAACCCTGAAGAAAGGAAGACTTGTTGAAGTGGTTTATTTAATATTGTATTATACATTCTGGGCATCAATACTGTAAATTGTAGGTGGATGTGATAAAAAACGTGAGAACTGGCACAAAAACTATATTCAATTCTCTGGAATCTGATCCTCCCACGACGGGATTAAATATGTTAAGTGAGAACAGTAGATACAACACATAATAGGGATTCTTCTAGACCTGCCCAGAAGATGATATTCAGTCCCTAGTCAACAGCAAATGTCACTAAAAATTCCCCAATTCATGTTTATATAGTTATAGTTAGTGTGATAGCTTAGTTGAGGTGATTTGTATTTCACTGATAACAGGGCCAGAAAGAGGAATAGGCTTTCGTCCCTAGTTTTGTGTTATTGCAGTGAATGTAATGTTAAAATACGGTATGAGGGTCCCTCAGAAATTTAGAAAAAGAGAACTGTAAGAATCTCAAGTTTGAACAAAATAACAGTTTTCCCACACTTTGTTAGGAATCAAAGATAATTCCTTCACAACTGATGTGAAAAGGTTGATTTGAGTGTTGGATTCTTTGATGGTAGAAGGAAAAGGGTGTCCACTCACAAAAACTTCCTCTGCTCCTTGTTGGCGCTGGTTGGTCTGAGACTGGCCCCTTCTTTGGAGGACGTGGGAGGGGAGGACTGGGGCGCTGCAACAGATTGGCACACTTCACATGAAAGACTGACTTAATGTTTCTTGACAAATGTGTTTGATAGTTTGTTGTCTGTTGAAAAATGTAAGATTGTCTACACTGTCCTTGAGTTGTGTTTCATGTTCTGCATTAGTTAAGCTGAATACCATTAAAACCTAGTCAACTCCTTGATACTGATAGTAATGTGACTGCGCCTCATGGGCAGCTTGGGTTGTATACTTCCCAGGAAGCTGAGAATTAAAATCGGTTGCACACTGATCCATTGACCAGAGTAATAATGAGTGCTTTGAGAATACTTTGGGGTGTGGATTTGGCAATAAGCGCATCATATCTACTGCTTTTATCAAATCATGACATCATTAGGACCATGTGGTCGCAATAGTCTGTGGTGGTTTACTGTCAGTCCTCTTGCCTTGAGTGAGTATGGTTTTATGCCGCATTTAGCATTTCCAGCAATGTCATGGCACGGTACTCCAGAAATGGGCCTCACAGAATGTGGGGGATCGCACTTGTGGATTAATCAATAGGGTTAACTACAGATAACTAAGACCGCTCTGTGCAGCGGGGCCCAGGACGTCAGTAGTTGAGTGTTTGTTTGTTTGTTTGTTTGTTTGCTTGTTTGTTTGCTTGCTTGTTGTTTAACGCCGCACTCAGCAATATTCAAACTATTTGATGGCGGTCTGGACCAGACAATCCAGTGATTGACATCATGAACATCAATCCACGCAATTGGGATACGATGAAATGCATCAACCAAGTCAGCAAGCCCCACCACCCGATCTCATTAGTTGCCTCTTACGACAAGCATAGTTTCTTTACGGAAAGGTTTCTTTGTTTATGTTATTAGGTACATTATCATCATCATCATAATATGTCATAAATAAAAATGTCATCAAATATATTTCACTTACAAGATCTGACAGGAATTTTACTGGTCTTCTTCTCACTGGGATCTTCTATTTTCACAGTCGGATCTATTTGCATAAATATATTCCCTCCATTAGACTGAACGCTCTTCACCTTAGGCTCTTCTGGCACCTCCTTGGATGGCGTCTCTGGCTCAACCACTACAGGAGTTGTCTCCCTTTTGTCCCTCACCTCAGCAAACATGCTGTCCACTATTAGTTTGGCCGCCTCAAATGAATTCCGCTTTTCCTCCTGTTTGGTCGGTTCACAGAGTTCATCCTTGCTGTCTTTCTTCTCAGGAGAACTGCGCTGAGATCCAGATTTACTTTTAATACTGCCTTCAGCTTCTTCTTTTATCAGCTGAAAGAACATCACAAAATTAGTTAATTCTAGTATTGTTGATTAATGGTTTGTCTTTATTTAATTCTGCTGTGGTCTAGTGGTAAAGTGTCTGCACACAGAGCAGAAGGTCGGGGTTCGATCCCCGGCTGTATCATACCAAAAGACGTTTAAAGATGGTACTTGTTGTTATCCTGCCTGGCGCTCGGCATTAAGAAGCTAAAACAAGGACTGGTCGTTTCTGAGTCAGTATACTGTGTCTGAGTGGGGTATTCATATTAAACTGTGGCATTGTATTTCAGTGGGCTAGCACTATACATCGGCATCAGTCACCCCATTTCACCTCACATCGCCTCCTTACTTAACTGCTGTAGTGAATGTTATGTGTCAGTCAGCAACATTACTGCTACATTACAGCTACATCAAGGCAGAATGTAATTTGTGTCTTGGGCTGAGAACTAGTGATTCGATTCTTAAGCTATTCACGTCACAGGGTCACAGACTATTGGTCAAGCCACACACTGTGACCTGCCAATCCCCGATTTTAGTGGACTTTTATGTGCTTGGGGAACATGCCTCTCTTTAATACATAGAGACGTTGTATGACAAACAGTGAGAAACAGAAATACTACAAACTTAGTTTTTATATGAAATATTTAAATGCCTGTCTTTGCTTAGTATTTGCCATGCCTGTGTGAGACCAAGGTTACTTACTGCGAAGCCATCTTCCTTGGAAGCTGCGGCCTTCACTCGAGGAGCCCGACTCGCTCTGGCTCGGTTCTTTGGAGGTGGAGGTTTTCTGAACTGTGAAATCAAGGGGGAATATTTCAAGTCAGCAAACTTACGTACATTTTGGTGGTGGTGCAGGGGCCGACTAGTGGCCTCAAGGTCAAGGGCACTGCAACTGGCTGATTTGAGTGTGGCTACTAGAGTTTAGGAACATAACAACTAGTCACTTGAGATTTCACTAGTTTCAGACTTATAGACTTACAGAATCCACTACACTAATGCAATTTGATGGGGAAAAGTTGCTTCTTATTGCTTAAATATATAGACATGAATAAGGGCAGGGTCATTTTTAGGGCAGGTGGATCAGGAACAACAAGAAGTTGTTTTAACAAGTCTTAGTTTCAGCCCCATTGATCTACAAGGTTTGGTTGATACAGGTAATATTGACAGGTGAAAATTACTCACAGACTTAGTATCTCTCAAGAAAAAGTTGTTTCTTAACAGTGCTTGATATACAAATATAAATACAGGCAGGGGCAGTTTTAGCTAAAGGTAGGTAGATCAGGAGCAACAAGAAATAATTTTTTCAGCCAGTGCTAGTTTCAGCCCCTTTGAATTAAGGTTTGGTTGATACAGGAAATAATCACAGGTGAAAATTACTCACAGACTTCAGTATCTCTGTTTCTCTCAAGACGACAGAAAAATCACCCAAATCATCATCTTCCAGCAATTTGTCATTTTCTGTTTTTCTGAAAGGAGAATTTTCATAAATGACAAATCAAAATTGTTGCATTAACATACCTACACAGTACCTATGCAAAGAGACACTAAATTGTGATAGCAAGGATTTAATGTTTAAGACATTAGATGGCCACTGGCACCTCTGTCAATCTTAGAGAGGGTCCGTGCTCCATGCCAGTGACCATTCCCAGTCTAAATCTGGATGTTGTTTTAGTGATGTGCAGTGTTTGAAATGAGCACCTGCCCGTAGGCCCATGGCAGATAGATGTCAGGTCTGTAGTTTCAAATGGGTATGGGTCCTTAAGGCCTGCAGTAAATTTACATGCTGATTGATCAAATGTTATTTGACAAATGAGTGCCTGAAGAGTTTAGTCAAGGCATGCAGGTTCTAAAGGCTGATGGTCCTGTGGCAGCCTGGCAATATATTTTGTTTCAGACAGTGGTGACGTGAGTCTAACTGAGACAGTCTTGTATAATTAGGCCAGGAGTGGGTAATCATTTATTGTTAAGTTGATATGCAAGTATATAAATTATATAAGATTTTAGTTTATGGACAACCCTCGTTTACAGACTTGCTGGGGTTGTACTGCATGTTAGCCTGGGCCTAGATAGCTTCGTAAAATCTGTCTTGATGAGAAACTCTGTCAAAGTGTCACATTATTTAAAAATTATAAAATTTTGGCTTCGACTATTGATACAAGATAATAATTTGATTTTGAAAAAAACTTATAGTTTTCAATATAAAAGGGCAGAGAATGGCAACGCTTGCTGGGCACTCAAGGTTAAATCATTGCTGTTTTCTTACGGATTTGCAGAGGTATGGCTTCAACAGGGTGTTGGTAGATCTGACTTATTCTTACATCAGTTTAGGCAAAGGAGCGTAGACATTGAAAATCAAGTGTTGCACAATAATTGTGAATCTTGTTCTAAGCTTGAATTGTTCTCTGCAGTAAGGGATAAATTTCATATAATAACTGGATTCGATTAATTGATGTAACATTATTTCGAATTAATATCTTGAATTTTCTTGGATCCAATCAGCGTCTTATGGTTGAAACAGGCAGATACCATAATATACCAAGACATGAACGTTTCTGTCCCCTCTGTGTTGTAATGCTATCGAAGATGAGTTCCACTTTTGTATGGTGTGTCCGTTCTATCTTGATCTGCGGTCTAATCTCATACCCAATTATTATCACATGTTTCCAAGTCGTGAGAAAATGTCCTTATTATTCAGCTCGACTTGTCGAAATCAAAGTATTTGCAACAATTTAGCAAAATATGTATTGCTTGCTGGTAAGAAACGTAATTCCATTTTCAAGGGAATACCTGTGTCATATAATTAACTCCAATAATAACAGTTTGAATACTGCATTGTAAATCTTATAATTCAGCGCTCTGTCATATTTGTATGCCATCATACTCTGCACGTGTATAATGGGCCGGTGGCCTCATTACCTGAATAAAAAGCATCAATCCCAATCCCTGGGCCTAGTCTTCCTTACAGAGTACACGCTGACATTATGTTGGTTTTCTGGAGTTTGGCCTCATTGAACATTCCTGTGTTACATGAAATATCTAAATGGCTGTCTTGCGTGTCTTAAGTTATAATATCTTTGTTTAAAAATTTGATTGATTTATTGATATTCAAGTTGGGCACCTTCAAGCTTGTGAAATGTTTCAATAACTTTACGATCCAAGTTACAAAGTTTCATGTGGAGTTCACAGGTCTGCTACAATTTGTGTATTGTGAGTGCATAATATTTCCAATGGGCTTTGAATGTTTGCATTATGTTGCTATGTTTAAAGGTTAAGGGTGAGTATGGCCCACACAATACCTCGTATCAGTCGTCACCTTGCTCTGTTGTTGTGTGAGAGCGGCAAGACATGGGTGCAACTCGGACATGTGTCTGGCTCCCTGCCAGGGCAAACATGGACAACGGCATAGACCACCAAATAGCTGGGACGCCCACAAATGCTCAAGTTAATTGCCTCCATGCCAAATATATAGGCCATTATGTCATGATGGTACGACTTATGCAGGAAGGATGTGTTGTGTCAAGATGTTCTCTGGCGGGGAAGATTATCATACCCACTGACAGAAGCCAGCATTGACTGATATTTAATGCATAACTTTCCTCTGTGTGGGATTCAATCTTTCATAAACAGAGAATGCCATAGTTTGAAACAGAAAAGGCAAAGTTTCTGATCTTTTGTGTGTGTGAGTGAGTCAGTATGGTTTAATGTTGCTTTTAGACATATTCCAGCAATATCTTGGCAGGGGACACCAAACATTTGCCACACGTTGTACCATGGGGAATTGAACCAAGGCCTTCAGCATGGTGGTTGAACCTTTAACCACAAGGCTACCCCAATCACACTGATCTTTTGAATATATTTATATTGATAATCATTGTCCCAAAGCAACTTGTGATATATTCCCATGTATACTAGTGAGATGATGAAATTACTGAATCCTGGTGTTATATGTCCGTATCTACCAGTGAGGTGATGTGGCTACTCTAGTGAGACCATGGGTCTCTGACTATCCTCTCTTCCTATGTGTTATTGCTGTATCTACCAGTGAAGTGATGTGGTTACTCTAGTGAGACCATGGGTCTCTGACTATCCTCTCTGCCTATGTGTTATTTCTGTATCTACCAGTGAAGTGATGTGGTTACTCTAGTGAGACCATGGGTCTCTGACTATCCTCTCTGCCTATGTGTTATTTCTGTATCTACCAGTGAAGTGATGTGGTTACTCTAGTGAGACCATGGGTCTCTGACTATCCTCTCTGCCTATGTGTTATTTCTGTATCTACCAGTGAAGTGATGTGGTTACTCTAGTGAGACCATGGGTCTCTGACTATCCTCTCTGCCTATGTGTTATTTCTGTATCTACCAGTGAAGTGATGTGGTTACTCTAGTGAGACCATGGGTCTCTGACTATCCTCTCTGCCTATGTGTTATTTCTGTATCTACCAGTGAAGTGATGTGGTTACTCTAGTGAGACCATGGGTCTCTGACTATCCTCTCTGCCTATGTGTTATTTCTGTATCTACCAGTGAAGTGATGTGATTACTCTAGTGAGACCATGGGTCTCTGACTATTATCTCTGGCTGTGTTATATTTCTGTATCTACCAGTGAGGTGATGTGGTTATCCGGATAAGATTGAAGGTCTCAAATTAACATGCTGTTACACCAGACAGGGAATACACAACTGATCTGAGACTGACCACATAATCAGATTCCCTGGTGTGTAACATCGTTGTAGCTGGCTGCCTAGATGGAATGCTTGTCAGAGCTGTGTTATGTAAATACAGGCATCAGAAGGAGTAGGACTGTAATCTGGTGGAGTTGTATTGACAGAGGCCGGGGAAACCTTCAGCACATGCTGTTGCATTGTCTCACATTGTATTTTAGTCTTATGTCATTTGAAATGTGCATTCCTGGACATAAGGAGTTGAAGGCCAATCAAATAAGTTTGTTAATCGAATATAACTTGCACATGTACAGTAATAACCACTGCTCTGTGATAAGATTGGGATTTATTACTGGGTTGAATACTGTTTGGAATACTGGGTTGAATACTGCATTGATTACTGGGTTGAATAATGTTTTAAATACTGCATTGATTTCTGGGTTGAATACTGTTTTAAATACTGCATTGATTACTGGGTTGAATACTGTTTTAAATACTGCATTGCTTTCTGGGTTGAATACAGGGTTGACTACTGCATTGATTTCTGTGTTGAATACTGCATTGATTACTGGGTTGAATACTGCATTGATTACTGTTTTGAATACTGCATTGAATAATGTTTTAAATACTGCATTGATTTCTGGGTTGAATACTGTTTTAAATACTGCATTGATTACTGGGTTGAATACTGTTTTAAATACTGCATTGCTTTCTGGGTTGAATACAGGGTTGACTACTGCATTGATTTCTGTGTTGAATACTGCATTGATTACTGGGTTGAATACTGCATTGATTACTGTTTTGAATACTGCATTGAATAATGTTTTAAATACTGCATTGATTTCTGGGTTGAATACTGTTTTAAATACTGCATTGATTACTTGGTTGAATACTGTTTTAAATACTGCATTGCTTTCTGGGTTGAATACAGGGTTGAATACTGCATTGATTTCTGGGTTGAATACTGCATTGATTACTGGGTTGAATACTGCATTGATTACTGTTTTAAATACTGCATTGATTACTGTTTTCAATACTGCATTGAATACTGTTTTCAATACTGCATTACTGGCCTGATTTTAGCCCATGTTTCATTGTAACGAACAATAGATCATGGGCAGATTGCACTTTATCAACCAGGCTTTATAGTGTTTTGTGTTATATCTGTTCAAATGTTCTCATGTTGTTGTGAAAAACAGGGAATATGTAACTCAATAAACCCCAGCAATTCACTCTGGCTTTTTAACCTAAATATTGTTCAAAGAACATATTTTGTCATGCCGTTTATCGTCAGGAAATAGAGTGCCTTTTAGTTATGTTGTAATTAGAACTAAGTCACTTTTCCTTATGTATTTGTTTAGGAGCTAATTTAAGAAATGCTTCCTTCTAAAGTTCATTTGATTAGTTACTTAGGTTATAATTAGTGTGGCAGATGTTGTGAAAGTACATCAAAAGTTCGTGGAAGACTAATAAGAGTAAGGTTGCATTTTAATGATAATGGGACTGGTTTTCTGAGTTGATATGGTGTTTCTACTTTCTGTCTGAGAGAGAGATTGAGATGTAGACGTTGTGCTGACTTGGTATGGTCATGTGTAGTGCACAGGAAGCCAGGCCCAGTCTGGCTGGCCGTCAGGAGGAAATACGATAACAAGTTGAATAACTCTTGTAACTGTTGGAGATGTAGAGATGATGCAGACAGAGATGTTGTTAGGGTCAGGGTCTTGGGTCAGGAGCAGAATAGATACCGTATTTTCTTGAGTATAGTGCGCACTTTTTTTCGAAAAAACACAGCTGTGTAGAAGGGGG